AGAATGTTGCAGTGTCAGCCTCACCAGGAAGCTAATTAGAAATGCAGAATCTTAGATCACATCTCACCCCTATTGAATCAGAATCTTCATATTAACAAGATCACGAAGTTATTCATATGAACTTTCAAGTATGAGAAACACTGCTCTAATATATTCGACCAAGCCATTGGATCTGAACATTTATGTAGAAAGAAAGAGTGGAAAAGAAAGTAAAAGGCTAACCACAGAGAAAGTGGTTAGTATTCTCAACTGCAAAAAACTCATAAAGGTCATTGCTGTGATAATCAAAGAAACACATCTCTGGGTCTTCAATTAAAGGGCTAAATAACTCTGTGTAGAGCTATTTTTGAGAGCATACCACCTTTTCATTCACATTGAAACAAAATTGAAACAGCTTCCTATAACTGATTGGGAGTAGGAAGGTAGGTACAGTATTCCTTATCAGTGGAACTACTCTCTCCTATTGGTCTCTCCTACCCATTTCTATGGAGCCAGAGTTGGGGAGCATGCCAATCTTGAAACACTTGAATGAGACAATTGCTAATATTAAATACCAAAATTACCCTGAAGGAAATATTTAGACTTCAGAAAGAATCTAGTTTAATAGATGCAGTATGATTGTATTTATTGTTTTGGTACCTGGGTATCCCTCCTCCTCCTCAATTATTTTGAGAAGGATTACGGGTATGTCACAAGGGAGGCTTACATTAATCCCCAAAGTGAGAAAGTGAATATGAACTAGATATTTTTTGAATGGGCAAGAAATGAGTTTCACTTTTATTATTAGTTACTGAGTGATCTGTGATCTTTCCCAATAGGAGATTAATATGTGGGCCTAATACTATTGATGTTGAAATCACACCAATTTGGAAACTGCTCATCAAAGAGGTAATATTCTTTTTTGATGCTGGATAGAAAATAAAGGAGTTTGGTTCTAGTCAAACAATCAAGAATGCTACTTGTTAATAGGTAACTGTAATTTAGGATATTCTAAAAGAATGACAAGCATGTTTTTTTATATCTCTTTCTCCTCTTTTTCTTGAAGTCTACCTTTTGCACACGGTGCCTGACACAGTATAAGATATGATGCTCATGGGTCTACATACCCCCCACTGACTAGATGAACACAAATTCTTTTTATTTTTTAATCCTTTGTTTCTTAGCCTGTCTCAACTTTGCGTAACTAAAATAATCATAAAAATTGAAAACCTATTCTTGTCTTATGGGAAACATATACAATTTCTTTAGCATCCAAAATTGTAGGAAGAAAAACATCTGTTCAGCCTTCTTAGTTCTATTGATCTCAAAGTGTGTGTGGGAGGAAAAGAATGATTTGGCCATCATTTACTGGGTGAATTTTTCCTCTTTGGCTCTATCACTGGGTTTATTTTTCATTTTATAGTGCTTATTTGTGAAACCACATAACTATACTCTGGGTTTTCTCCTGCAGTTCACCTCCACACCTCATTGTCTTAAAATAAAGCTTATAAACTCAAGGTACTTTCTCAATATTTCTAGCAAGCTTTCAGGCATGAAAAAAAAAACAACAGAATCTGGTAGACAAAGTTCCTGTGTGCTTCTTCCCTAACCGGAGGCAAGATTACCACTCCTGTGTTAGATAGGCGGGAATTTGAGTAATGGCACAGAATGTTTTCAACCAAAGCAGGATTACAACTGCTAGGAGTTAGCCTCTACTTTCCCCCAGTATTCTAGATGCTCAGTTATAGCTTACCACTCTCAGCTTGGCTCTTATGTGGAAATAGCACCTTCAACTCATCCAT